GCAAAGTGTCCTGGAAGCAACTGCTGCAAACAACAAGAAATGGACACCCCAAAAGCATCCACCAAGGGCATAGCAAAATCGGGTAATGTGCTACGTGCTTTCTGGTCAATGGCAAATGCTTTTAGGATGGACTGATTTTCATTTGCCGGGATGAAGCGTGGCCCCAAGAAAGAACATCGAGATGAGAAGCTGTGTTCTTTCTCAAGGCACATCTGCCCACAACGGGCGCCACTGAAAAGCTGCAGTCACTTGCCTCTGTGTTGAAGGCATCTGCCGCCGCCTTTGAATTGAAGTCCACCTTGCAAGGATCGTGAATGGCCACTGGCAGTCGCTTGCAATACGCCAGCCAATGCGAATGATGCCGTGTTTGGTTTGGATTGGGATGATGCTTTCAACTGCAGAACCCTACGTGCTGGTAGAACTTGTCTAGGCTCCAGCCCCAAAAACTTGTGGCTGGACGAATTCTCGGAATTTCCGGAGTGGCTGTTTCACGGGGGAGAGTATGTTTATGTGTGCGGTGCTTTTCGTGTTCATCCCGGTTCTTGAGGAGATGGTGGTCGAGCCCCCTAGTTTATGGGGTTTCGCAGCGCTCATTGGTCGTCAATTGTGGGGAATCAGCCTCTTCAGGGTCTGAAATGGCCATGGTTTGGTTCAAAGATGGAGCAACACGCATCAGCCTGCGAAGCTTTCCTCAGGCAAGAGTGACTTTTGGATTCCACAGCCCTCGCCTGCGCCTTTGAGGCAGCTGAATTCAAGATTGGGAGCCTAGACCTGGGACTGGTCCAAGGCATCCTCAAAACCGGATGCTGTCCATCTTGATCCGCTAGAGGTGACAAACTTTTAGTGGGCTAAATGGAATCCCCCCACTAAACCAACGAAGCCAAAAGCCTGAGGAACCGGATGCCTGAAAAACCGCCAAGCATTCAGAGACCCTCCGACTTTTCCAAATTCCCCCCTCTTTGCCTCCGGCAAGTTGGCGGCCCAGCCCGACACCGAGCCTTCCTCACAGGAACCAAGACTCATGGTTCCTTAACAGATACATCCAAAAACCACTTGCTGCACCACGGAGGCCTCCACGTCTGTTGGCAAAGGTACTTTAACCCCAACTTTGCATCCTTTGAGGGACCCTCTCTGCAAAAGCCCCTCTTAGCATTGGATCTTGACCGCCAAAGATGAGGCTTAGCGTCGACGGCCCGAAAGGCTTAGCGTCGACGGCCCGAAAGGCCAACTCCAAAAAATCCGGGCAAATGGTGGACAATATGGCTCTCGGACATGGATAAATTCATGCCTGAGATTGCAATGGGCACTCGTGCCATGGTTGAACGGCGACCACTCTCAAAACCCCTCATGATGCATCTGTTGAGGAGAATCCCCGGGTCATGAATTTTCCAAGACCCAGGACTGCGACAGGAGCATGTGGGGTGTGGATTTGCATGTGCAAACTGGGCACTGTCTAAACAATAATGGGGGCGAGGACTTGCAGGCAGTTGGGAATTTTGGCGCTGAACAAAGAAGTGTGGCGGGCCCTCGACTTACATAGCCGTGGGAACCTCAAAGAAATGCCATCAACTTGGCCTTTTTGAACACCAATACCCCGTCAATGTCGTGTGCTGGCAGGCCTGCGGGAAGAAGCTCAGAGCAACACTGACAAGCGGAAAGGCAAAGCACAGAAGGCCGCAGTCTACCCAACATGTCGGAATCCTTACATTATACACCTGAACATTGCCTTGTAAATTGTGGTGTCCCTTTATTTTGGTGGAAAAAGCCATGTTTCAATTGGGCAAAATGTATCTTTTAAGGAGCATTAATGTCGGGAGGCTTCGCAGCCGTGAACTCGAACTTTCGTCTGTCCTCGGTCTGACCGGAGTCGGCCCGCAAGTCGCCTGCCGAGGGCCATCTCGACGCGGCGGACGTGGCGGGAGAAGCCCCAACAGCCCAGGATCCCTTAAAACTCCACCCCGGTAGCTGCTGATATTCGGGAAAAGCATCGGAAAAGCACATTTCGTGGAAGTCTTGAAGGAGGTCAGTGGGCCCCAGCACGGCAACACCTTCCGCGTGGTGCCAGCACTAGCCGGCATGGGACGCATGCAACGCAAACATGCAACGACAGCGAAAGCTAATCCTTCCCCGGATCAGTCTCCCTAATGGTAAAAAAAAAAGTTTTTGGAAATCCCAAAGCCGAGAATACTACTTTTAGAATAGGCCAATACAGAACCAATTCTAAAGCAGGTATTTTCCTGCACGTACTCAAATCCAGCCCTATTAGGGGGACCTGGGGGAAAAGGAATCCCACATCCCTGCCTCTGTCTTCCAGCAAGGAGCTGCCCTTCTTTACCACCTGAAGCTAGGAAATTGGGCTGTGGGATGCAGGATGAACATGCGGATGGTTGCGACATCCGCTTCTCGCACCGTTCAGAACCCCGGGAAAATGACCCGATTCCCAATGCCAACCAGCACTGGTTTCCCGTGGCCACCTAAGAAACCCTGGAATAATTTGGTTCCAAGGAAAATACCAAGCAATGGCTTCAGCCTGGCCTCATTTCGTGGTGCAAAATGGATGTCGCCACCATCCGCAGCATCTTGGTGGTCTTTTTGGACGATCTGCGCATGTCAAACTGAGGGGAAACCCCCAAAAATGGTGGCTCTCCTTTTGGCTTCCATTCAAACCTCACCGGGATGGCGCACATCCACTCCGCTCCATTAGGCACCGAGCATTGCATGGCGTGGCAATGGGAGGCGAATGGTACCAAGTAGACAAACTAAAGCATGACCAATCCCCTGTTTGGCTTCCAACATTTCCAAGCATGAACCAATGTGATGCTTCAAAAGAGGACCCCCCCCAAAAAAAATGGATTCCGGTTTTCCTTTTCCCTTGGCTACCATCAAACAATGAAACCCCTTCAAACCCCAAGTTTCCCGTTGAGTCTCACAAAAAATGATCGCCTCAAAACAAAACAGGCACGCAACCATTCGCCAGCACGAGCTGGAATCTGCTGGCCTTCCGCTTCCGGGTAAGTGGCACTTCCGGCGCACTCCTGGCGAGCTTTTTGAAGTGGGGTTGGCACCCAGCCCCTGTTCTTCCCTCGAAAAAGGGGATCCCTGACAACCCCCAAAAATGGGAACTCCCCAAAAAAGAAGTTCACTGAGAACCCCCCCACAAGAAGGTCATGAAGCAACTTTGAGGCTCACGCGTGAAGCCAGGCGATCGGCAAATGACTTGTGAATGCACCAAGGGCAAATCAAGCAAGCAGAAACACACATCGACAAGGAATTTCCGTTGCGGATTGATTTGATTGTGGAAAATCTCCCTCTGTGATGACAAGGGGGCCATTCTATGACCAGCATACAGTGAAGGGGTCCCCTTGCTATCACAGAAAGTCGAAAGTGGCCCTGAAACCCACTTTTCCACAACCATGCATCTTGAGCACACTGGAATTTTTCAGAACCACTGCGGCTACTTAAGCATGAGATACCACAAAGCAGCGGCGGGGCATGCTGAGCCAAACCTTTTGCGGGAGCCTGGACAGGTTGACCAAGCCCATGTTCCCGTAGCCGAAAATAGGGGTCCATAAAGATGCATTTGGGACATGTTCAGCACCACCTGTACCGGCTGATTTGGAGGGGAAACCCCGGGTGAGGTTTCTGGATGCTCTTTGTGGCTTAGCTGGCGCCCGGCCCAGTCGGTCCGGCGACTCCGACTGTCTGACTGTCCGACTCTCCGTTGGATTCCCCGCAGGCCTCTCCAGGGCCACGAGCCTGTCTTGAACCTTCTTCAATTCAGGCCTGGCAGAATGCGGATCGAGAAACGTATCCCGGCGACAAGAGCGTCTCCAAGAGGCACTGGGTTTCATGATCAGTTTCCTCGATCTTTGATGGGCTTCCAGGGCTTCTTCGCTTTCCTTACAGACTCCTGGATGGACAGATGCTGAGGCTGCCAAGGCCGTGTGGCAGCAGATGTTCAAAGGGCCCAATGCGGAAGCTCGCAACTCAAGAACAAAAGACTCGAGTGGCAAGGAAGAAGGCCGACAGCTCATTGAGGTACAACCACAGGTTTCCCATAGCGATTCCTGCTGGCCCACTTGTCACTGCCTTCCTAAATACTGCAAAACAAATGCAAGGTGGAAATCCCCTTCGAGAAGGCTTTCTTCTTTCTCATGGAGCTGTGCTAGGCTGGCAGAGTGGCAACAGCATCACCATGTGATTTGCTTTTGGCCGGCAAAATCTTCCTGTCCAGTTCCATGAGTGGTGGGAAGAGGGTGAACAAAAGAGCTACCTTCGTGGGCTCAAATGGTTCTTCCTACACCCATCCAGTAAGGACTCTGCATGATTCGCAGCCCAACATCCCGCGGCGCCTAATTTGCTTGTATCGTGTGGCAGCTCGGCTCACGTCCTGCAGAGATTCGCGTTCTGCACATCATTGTCTATGTCTGGCTATGAGGAGATTCTCAGGGAATCTTTTTCTTGACGTCATGCTGAAGCCAAACATGGTAAGGCACACTTACAGGCATGCATTGCTTGAGGCTGGGTTTGGAGCTCCCTTGTAGGCTTGGCTTCAGCTTGGTTAGCCGTGCCTGTGGGGAGATGTGCTGGGATAGCGAACCTGGGGAACAAAAACCCTTGCTAGATCCTGCGCATTGTCTCAATGAGCAGGCACACAAGGCTTCGTGGTTGCATGTGGTTGGTTCACTTGCAGTGGTCAGGCCATTCGCTGTATATCTGCTTCCTTGCAATCGGTGGTTTGGGTTGGTGTCCCAAACCACCAATCCGAACCACCAATTTAGGGTTGCCTGAGTACATGTTGGGCAGACTTTTGATGTGATGTGACTCTTGGAGGGGCCCTTGATCAACAGGAAACGGGGGGGGGGGGGGGGCGGAAAACGACTTTGCTTCTTTTCGCAAACCTCAGCTTTCTCCCCCCCTCCCCCAAACCAAGAAACAAAGCCGCTTGAGTCTGGTCGGAAGGCTCCTCGCAGCCCGAGGCCAGGGGGCCATCCAAAGTCTCAGCGGCGAACCTCGATCGAATTTGGTTCAGCTCTGAGTGGCTCTCCCCTTCGACGCCTTCGACAGGCGGAACGTGGGTTCCCGGAACTGGAAGTGAACGGCTAACCTTTTGGAACCTTGGCGGATTATGGCCCCAAGCGGGGAACCGAAAGGTCGACTCGCTTTGGGCAAGTGAGTTGGGGGGGGGGGGTTGGAGGTATCTGAGTAAGTTGAGTTGTATTTGTTGTTTCGTGCATCGGCAAGCAGATTCCAGCAGCACCAACTGGGTGCCAAATACTGGGCCAGGAAAGGCAGCAACAAGTATCCGAGCCTTTTGGGTTCCTAGGCCAAATCCAAAAAAGCCGTTGAGCACCCAAACAAGGAAGATCGAATTTCCGAAAGCGCGATGCCAAGGTGCTGGACGGCTTCTCTCCAGCACTGGTCCGCCAGCTTCATACCGCTGATGATGATGTTCCTAAGGCCAAGCAATGTACGGGCCCCTGTTTCCCAAAAGACGTCTGCCTTTTGACATCCATGACATACATGTGACCTGTCGTTTGACTGGAGACAAAACAAGCATAGGTTGGGGCCCATCATATTATGTTCCCGCCATCTGTTTGTTTGAATGTGCTTAAACAACTCCAGTTTCAACCTCCCCTGAAATTTGTTGTAAACGTGGCCATGGCCGGCCCGGTCGGTTGGAGGAATTTTGCCCAACTCCATTTTGCCCAAGCAAGCACTGCTCGAGCTGATGCAGGGCCAATGACCTCCAAATGGGGACAAACATACTGGCTGCCCACTCTCGAGTTGCGAGTCGAATCCCAGGCGAGCCGGCCCGCACACGCATTGCAGAACACACAGCTCAACATAAACACAACAAACAGCGGGGAACTCGCAAAACAAAAAAAGCAAGGTGCGGAATCCACTGCAGAACCGAGTCGGTAATCCCCTGCAACAGCCTTCCGTGGCCGTTGTCATAGCCGAAGCCTCTAACAATTGACAGAGAACAAATGCAAACGGCGCCACTGCCACGGGTTTCGCCACTTTTTGTTTCTTCTTTTTTTGGGGGAAATGAGTCCAGGCCGGGCGCTTGGTATTCTGCACCGAGGCGGAGTCCTGGCGCGGAATAGGCCCCCCCACGCGTGGTACCACTTGTTCGTGGGCTTTAAATGGAAACCCAATACAACCCAGCTATTTTCGGGGGTTCCCTAGAAAAAGAATCACACGCATTTGTTTTCGGGTTTTGAGACCTCTGGAGGGCTCCCGCTCGCACCAGTCTAAGGGGCCATGGCAAACACATCACCCGCTTCGAAGCGGAACCAAAAGTTGATTCGCGCCTGCACCAGGAAGGGCGCATCCTCGCCATAGACGGCGGAATGCCTGAAGGCTTGAGCAATGTTTGTTTGAACAGCCGTACAAACAGGCCTCTGTAGATGGATATAACCCACTCAGGAGACTTACAACCATTCTTTGACAACCATGGTATGTGGGTTGCAACAATGGTTGTTACCCGCTTGCTAAGTACGCTGCCCCTTTAAGTATCCTTGCCACTTTGAACATGGAACCAAAGGGTGTTTCAAGCTTAGACATTGACTCGCCATACCTTGGCCCTCCTGGCCCGTCATGTTGTGGGAGGAAATGGATATGGCACAGCCACTCTCCTGTTATGCTTGCGCACGTTTTTGCTCCAACACATTGATGGTGGCCTCCTTTTCGAGGAAAGGTTTTGTGGCAGGTGGGTCCCGACGCGGTGGATGCCCGACACAGTCAAACCGACCATCGCCAACCACAAAACCGCTGAATTGCGGTCAATTAGAGGCTTGTCTAGGGCGCCGTATCTGTCTATCTGTCTAGCTGTCAGGCCGACTCATCTGCGTTTCTGCGTTGCTCGGGGCCCAGGCAGGCCGTTCAGCAGCTCCTGCGGAGCAAAAACAGACACCGCGTGCGTTTTTTTCAGAGGGGCTTGTAGACCTGGCCCGGAATCCGAGGTGCTACCAGCCCGAAGTGACTGGAACACATGGGGGCCCTTCGTGCGGCCCGTCTTTCAGTAAAAAAACAACACGTTTGTTTTTGGAAGGGGCCCAGAATCCAAAAACACGAGTGGACTTCTGGGCCCATCCACTGACGGACTCCCAGTCTGAGACTTTCAAAGGGCTCCTCGAGCTGCCGACCTCGGAGCCTCTCCGCATCCAGGCAGCTTGCGGCCACCTGGCCCCGCTTTTTCAGGAGCCGCGCGTGGGAGCCGTCCTTAGCAAAGACGCCTTTGGTGGCACACGCCCAAAGATAGCGGACTCAGGTTGCCAAAATTTGCTGCCAGTGCCACATTCATCCAGACAGGGACCTATCAGGACGTACCTTGACCCATTTGGATCCCTCACTCACTACCATATCAGAAACTCCTTGGACCTTTGCAGGCGACCAACCCAGCCCGGATCCCTGCCAAGCAGCCATCTCCCGGGCGAAAATCAAACGCTGCGCTAAGTGGGCTTCCTCGGCTGGTGGATTTCTGAGGAATAACGAGGCCTCACTTTGAGTAGCCCTGGACATCACCTGATAGTTGGGCTTCTTGTCATCAACAGCGCAAAGGGAATCAACCCGACAGGAATGTGTTGAGAGCACTGCACCAGAAATGTAACACCATTGTTGCATCTAATTTGGATGGGCTCCCTTTGAACCAACTGGGAAAAAAACGCATCCCGCCACCCCACCACCCCGATGCAACACTTGCTGACTTGAAGTGGCACTCGTCTTGCTCCCTGCAGCCTGGGCGCGATTTCACCTCAGTTCACATCCCCAGCCCAGTCACCCTGCTACAACAACTGGGTGATAGCCTCAGAATGACCCACTAACGTCTAAAGGGAAACCACCCCAAAAAAGAACTTTGAACTCAGAGCATAAGCCATATCCCCAACCGCGGAACCTTCCTGGAACCTGGAGCCCTTCTGGAATCCCAGGGCAGGGACCATATTTTGGATTATTGGGGTTGACCATCCACAGAAATGAATCAGCGGGTGTCTATCCTCGTATTCGTGGGGATACCCATCCCGACTTGTGCAGGAGCTCTTCTAGCCATGGGGAGGACTTTCTGGGAAACCACCCATTGGAGGGTTCCATTGCGAGAAGCAATGCCAAGACTATGCCAACAGCTCAGCGAGCGATCCATCGTCAGCGCCTCAAAACCGCGAGGAGCTAGACAGGTCGTTTTATGCCCCATGGCAAATATAAAGTCTCAATGTCGGTCCAACTAAGGAAATCGATCACTATCTGGCCGGGTGCCAATAGAGGGTCCCTCATTTACACTTGAGGGACTTGTGAAATTTGTGGGAGTGCGAAAAACATAAGTTACTTCAGGATAATACGTAATTGCTTGACTGACGTGAGCTATGGAAGCTGTCATGAAAGTGTGCGCATTGGCCCAGCATGCCCCTCGGCATTGAAGCATGCAAACTCCCACTCATTGTTGCCATGACCCCTCTGCAAAAAATATCTAACTTTTTGTAGGCTCAATGGAAAACCCGATGGCAATCCAGGCCAAAGTTATAAAGTCTAAAGATCCAACTTAAGTTATAAAGTTTGTGGAGTTCAACCAACCAGTTAATTAAAGTCTATCTCCTCCCACTAGCATGGCAACTCGTTTTTGCTCTTTAAAAAACATGACTTCAGATTTCGAGTCTAAAGATCCAACCAACCTACCGAGCCCTTCGATGGCGCCCAACGTTTGTCCACCCTCCCGCCCCCTTGATGGCAACAGCCGAAGGGCTGGCGATGACCAGGGCCTCGCTCAGAAAGGGCACCGAGCCGTTGGAGGCCTCCGAAACCCGGAGGCTCCGGAAAACGAGTCACCAAAGCATGTAATGTAGCATCCGAAAAAATGGGCCAGCGTTTGGGACAATCTTACATCTGCCTTTCATCAAAATGACGGATGACAAAATGTTTAGATCCTATAGGAGCAGGTTTGAACGTTGGCCAAACCCAACAAATGACAGCCAAACCCAGTCACAACGCACGCGAAATACTTGCTGGTACGGCAGCCTGTGAAAGAGAAATGAAATGACCCCAAAAAAAAGCAAGCCCTCCAATTCCTATGATTTACTTCAAGTTGGAATCCCCGGTTCGCCGGTTCATTCCATTTCTCGTTACATACATTGTAAGTAAACACCGCACATCGTTGCAAGTTAACCCCCCTTGAATGTCAAATGGCCCCCAAACTTCGCCCATGTTGGGGGGCAAAGAATTTGCTCGCGGGGTTCCTCTTTCCTACTCGCGATATTGAAGGAATCAACCAAAGCGACAGTTGGCCTCTATCTGTACGCCGAGGGAAAACTGTCACCCATAGGTGCCCCTCACTTTATGTGGTTGGCTGATGTTTAGCCATGAGGAAATATACACTCCCTCCCACGGTGCCATGTCACCTGACAGGGGGTTCCTACAAGAGGAAACTGATTTTCCAGGTACCCCGCCTTAGTGGGAGAAAATATGCGGCCTCCGTTTTGTTGATGATTTTTTTTTCTGCGGGTTTCAAAGCTGGTCCCAGCACTGCAGCCATAGAATTTGATCAAAACCCAGGCAGGCATGCGGAATCGCAAGCTGCTTGTCCGTACCGTGTATAGCCGGCTAAGAATGACAAGAGGGGTGATCGCATCAATCTGCCTTGAGTGCCTGCACAGGGCAAGTTGTCAGCTTACAACTGTTCAAACCTTAGTAAACTCACCCAAACAACGATTCCCGCGTGCCAACTTCTACCAACTCCCGCCCTTTCTGAAGATCAAGCTTCAACAAACACCATCACTCAGCCGCGCCTGGGCCCGCTGGTCGAAATCGCTTCTCAGGCGCGCAATGGAATCGGCGGTGGCGGTGAGCCTTCGGCCAGGTCTCGCTGGCGAAAGATCGCGCCGCACTCTGATTCATCAAGCCGAGTGGTACCGCTGGACAGGGGGAAAATGGGGACACCTCTTGAAAAGGGACACCTCTATCACTTAGCTTCGTGTCAAGTCAAGAATTGTCACATTCAAATGGGACACTTCTTCGATATCAACCACATCTTGGGCCCGGAGCCTTCCGAGTGCCCTGACTCAGCCAGTCATTTGGTCACTTGCCCTGTTGCCCGTGTGCGTGTGCAACGGTCACAACTCCGTGTGGGCTGTGGCTATGGCTCCCTTAAATGTCCCATAGAGAGGTCCATGACGTCCCTACAAACCAAGACCCGGGGCACACAAGGCCTTTTGCAGCCCGGTCGCGTCTTGACCGCCTCCGCAGACTTCTTCTTCTCGAACTCGGACATCTTCCTCAGCGTCGACAGCCGAAGCATGGACAAACACCGGGGTTAAGGAGGGGGTGGAGAAATCGGGATCCTGAGCTTTCGAAGACATTAAGCAATGTGCGCAGTTTAGCACCTAGAGCAGCCATCAAAATGCGCACATTGACTACATGGCTGCAATTCCAAAAGAATCAAAGCTGACCTGGGAAAGCGTATCTACATTTAAAAACCACTCTTTCATTCGCCCCGTGCGCCCCGGGACTGGAAGAAAGTGCGGTCTTTGCTACGGCGGATTCCCAAGATATATCAAGTAGCGGAACAAGGGAAACCCAGCTAGCAGATCGCCGTGAATCAGCCGTTTTTCGTGGCTCTGTGGCAAGTCCACTTGCACTACTTCAGGCATCCACTTGATTTGCGCATCTGATTGGGTCCTTGATTTGCGCTTACCATAGGTTCTGTGTTGGGATGGATGAAGCCCAAAATGCGCCATGGATGCAGCCCTATGCGCCCCACAAATGACTGCTTGATAAACCAAAGTGTGGTGCAACAATGAATTCTCCGCAGGAAAGCCCCCAGATGTTTGGTTTTTTTCCCCCTACGCGGCCCGAAACAAACGCGAAATCTTGGAGGAAACCCCCCCCCAGACCCCAAAAGACCAGCATCACGACAGCTTCCAACTCGCTCCAGGCTTCTGAAGCTCCGCTGGGTTGTCCTTCCCCAAGTCCTCGAAGAGCGTGCGCAACCTTGGCCAGACGGACGCGACTCGGCCCCGGCAAAAAAGTTGCGTTTTGCGGGTGAAAAGGGAACATGAAGCAAACCCAGAACCAAATGGAAAAAAAGTTGGCCCAGTCTGGAAATGAGTAGATTGCGGCAAAAGCAGGTACTGCAGCAAAAAGGTTCGGACTGCCCCAGGCCAGGATTCTCTAATTTGGCAAAGGTGTCGCCTGTGTACCCGCAACACGGCGGCCCGAAAACTGGATATCTTTTGACACTCCCACTTGCCAATTGCCCCTGGGTGGCCTTCTTCAGGAGAACCTCATGGTTTTACTCCCCTGCGGGCTCTCATGGGGCCAAAGCAAAACTGTTCACAGGAAACTCATCTTGCGGGGGCCCTTCTGGATTTCTATTCGCCGTGCTGACGGGTAAGGCCGCGGCTCGTGAAACTTTGCAGTGAGGTTCTCCTTGGATTCAGCTTGATTCGGCGTTCAAACTGGGAGCAAGCTATTCAAGCAACGTCATACTTCAGGGCGTGCGCCTGCGAGCACCGCGCACACGCCTACCGCTCCGCGCTGTATTTGGAGGAGGCAAAATGTTCAGCACTCCCGCCCAAGAGTGTACTTTCAATACTGTACACACGCCTGCGCACTGATAAGCGCACCTGCTCAAGAGTCCAAAACACGCACACCTGAGCACACGCTCAGCGCTACACACGTGCCTGCGAATTGGCTCGAGGAACAAACACGCCTGCCGATAAGCACTCCATGTTGCCTCCGCTCGTGCGAGTGACGACTCGGAAGTCCTCGTTTAAAGACACAAGATCCGGCTATGAGCCATGCACCCAGCTTGTACTGGCCCGACTTCATAGACTTCCAAGGTGGGCCATGGGGGGCCTAGCCCTAAACAAGCCTAGGACAAGCCTAGGACAAGCCAAGGATAAGCCCAAGGCCTTACTTGGGGCCTAAATGGATCGCTCCATTGCCTAGCTCCCTACCGACTGCAAACGTTCCATCAACCAAGGTGCGGCAGCGTCCATGAGCTGAGACCAGCCTGCCGCGTGGGTTTTGCCAAGTTTGTTCTTAGCAGGTGTTTAGTGAACCTGGCTATTTGTTTCACTTAGGAGACATATGACCATGGTAGGTGGGTTGTAACAGTGGTTATTACCCAGCTACTAAGTACCCTGCCCCTGTAAGTAGGCAGTTAAAGATGGACATCCCCATCATACTCAGGTGTCTGGAATTTTGAGCCAGTGCCCACTATCTCCTCTTTACCAGAGGCCCGTGCTTGACCTCGAAAGCCAGCTGAATAACCGACTTGGGCCATCGGACACACATGACTGCAGTGAGAATCCCAGATCTCTAGCGTCCTGTTGTCCAGTGACCCTTGCAAAGAAAGGGAACCCTTTCGGGGTTGCTCAATTTGAGTGGGGAGAACCCATCAAACAAAATTTGAAATCGGGTGGAATCCACCAAACCACTGGGAATGACATTTTCGTCTGCTGACCTTGGCTAACTTTGCCAGACAGTGACCTCCGGGGTACTTTGAACCAAACTAAGCCATGATGATGGGAGCAACTTGATGGTGAAAGTAGGTTTCTAGCCTTTTTGATTGCAACAAGTGGCTTGATGGCTGGGTCGACGCAGGAGGAGCTCAACTAGCCATGGTCCTCTTCGTTTGTGGGCTTATCCAATGGTCGCTAGGACCACCAAGCTCTCAAAAGGACAGCCTGGTCGCAAGGAAGTGGTTTCGGAGGCGCCCCATGGCCTGCCCAACAACAAGATCCAAGGTAGCCCCCAACAATTCAAAAGCCCCCTAGACAAAACGACGCCGCGCGCCTTCTTCCTCCAGGTCCGGGATCGGCTGTGGCCGCGCCACGTTGGCCGGCAGAACTGCCTGAGCTGCAAAGAGGCCAGAGGGCGCAAGTAGATGAGCTCAGGGCGCTTTGGCTGAGCCATTTGAGCCATTTCAGCACACAATTCTCAGGGCAGCTTGAAAAACCAAGGGGCCTGTTCAGTTGATCCCCTTCTCCATCTGTCTGGGGAAACCTCACAAGAGTCATTGGGGCTCGCCCATGTGAAGCAACACATTTTTGGCAGGGACAAGCTCGGACTGGCTCACCAGGCGACTTCAATTTGATGTGCAGCTGCATCTGCAGCTGCAAAACCCCAATGCAGATGTCCCGATTTTGGCGCCAAAATTGAGAGACAGCCGGCCCCAGGCATCTGGTCAAAACAAAAAAAACTGATTTAGACACCAGAAGTACGGATACCCCTAAGCAAAGGACCTTCATAATGGTGAGCTCGTCACCCCCTCCAAACAAAAGAAGACCAACACACATCATAGCATGAATCGAATATTAACAGGTGAGACGCCGACATCCAGAAACAGCGAAGCTGGAAGAATGACGGAATTTGACTAGCATGAGTCTGAATGAGTCTTGATGTGTATCTTGGCTAATGGTATGCATATTGCTGCCAGGCAAGAGGATGTAAATGTGGTCTTGTATATCTGAGTTCTGGTGTTAAATCCAGAAGCATACAGTTGGCTAAAGCAATAGGATTGTGGTGATGATGGTATGGGAGTATGGGGTGGAAGAAGTGCTAGTGAATTGTGGATCCCAAATATTGTGCGCTGTCGGTATGCTTGGGATTGTTTCACCCAGAGAGAATTGTTAGCATTGGATGCTGTGTGATAAAGATTGCTTGATACCCAGATTAAGATCGTACTTAGGTGACCCCAATGTGCTGTGAAGATCTACAGATTTAAAGATCGAGTATTATCTAGAGCAAAAACAACACCTATATCATAAATGGAACCCACTATTTGGAAACATACCGAAGTCGAACATTTACCATTGAAAGATAAAGCTATCATCCAATTGATCGTTGCACCAAAAGTAGACGTGCCTTTAGCTTCAAGGTATGGAGCGTGCATTAAACTGTGAACCACTGAGATCTCAGTGTGCAATAACTTAAAACATTTCACCTTTATCACGCTGAGGCCGTATTTGTAGTATGATATCGCAGTCTACGCACCTTTCAGGTGCAAGACTCTGCCCTTTCTTTAAACATTTGGGTGCCCTAATGTTGAGTAACATGCATGGGCAAGGCCATGCATTCTTCTGAAAGCTGTAATTGTGTTGTGCACAACACCTGGCACGCTGAGGGAAATAAATAAAAATATATATATATATATATTACACTAAACTTGCATCAACTACTCGAGCACATGTGGCACCCCCCCCCCCCAAAAAAAAAAAACACGCCCCCAAAAGAATTTGACGGTATTTGCAGTACCTTTTCGCGATTTCCACCCCCTTTTCAGGCACTGCAATTTGCAGCATATAACTTTGCTCGCATCTGCTGACATCTGACTGTGACAGTATCCTCTTAAAACCCTTTAAAGCAAAGAGCAAGCTGAGGAAAATGCACATTTATCGCGGACGCTTTGCATTCGGCAGTGACGCACAGCGCGAGCAGTGCGGCCATGCCGGTTCGTGGTCCACACCACCTAAGCCGGCCTTGCGAGATCTGATGCTCGTCTAAAGCCGCGGCCCTTGGTGAATTTGGAAGCGAGCCTAAAGGCATGATGCAACGTGACGGTGGAAAGCCGAAGGATCACACCGTCACAGGAAAAGGCAATCCCGGCAATGGTGCGGGAGAGGCCATGGCACAGGAAGTTGTCAACTCCCGTGACAGTTGCAATGAGCTTGAAAGCGGCCCGAACTTCACAGATCACCCTCGCGAGGGTGGGTCTGGTAAAAAAGGAGCCCAGAGACTGTAAACGTCCGGGATCCTGAGTGTCTTGCACAGCCGGGATGAGAAAACCGCGTTGCTGGCAGAGTAAAAGAGTCAGCTCTATGTAGCTGATTGCAATAAAATCTGCACTGCCACTTTCAAGTTGTGTGACCTGCTCACAAAGCTGTACAGCGAACAGGATTTTTGAGCCTGATCCGGTGGCAAAAAGAAGCTCTTTCCAGTTGCCGGGCAAAGCTTCCCCAATTGTAAGTTGATGCATCTTTTCTCCCCAGTCGAGGTCGTCGATGGTTGGTGTTGCGTCGAAAACTGAAACTTCCTGGCGGTTAGGCTGTTGTATGTCGGCAACCTCAAGCAAGAAACGGCGAAATAGCCGGAGTGCGTTGGACCAGTAGCTGAAGAATTCAGAATCCTGGCGGAGAAGCTCGACTAATTCGGCTGGCCTCTGCTGATTGATAAAACCTGCATTGAGGTCGGCGTTGTCGTTCCATGCTGCTTGCCATTCCTCGAGCGAGTCCTGGCACGATGCCTGGTCGATGTGCGATGGAGTCCAGGCAATCTGAAACTGTAGTGGCCGCAGTTGCTGGGTGATTTCCCGGAGCGTGTCCCAGAGATCAAAATTGCCGGGATTCTTCGCGAGGAAGGCCTGGTCGCCGGCAATCAGTTTTTGAGCCCCCAAAACGGTGCTTTGCGAATCTGACCAGAGCATGGTGTCACAATCAAACTCCAAGGTCCATTGTGCTGCGGCAATGATTGCGGTAAGTTCTGCCCGCCCAATGGATTGTGTGAGCCCGCGAAGAGGTTGGCCGGCGACCGGTTTGCCGGTTGTAGCGTTACTGACGTGCCAAGCTGCGAGTTTCAGACCGCGTGTGCCGTGTACCTGGCTGCTCCCATCTGTAAAAAGATGTTGGGTCCCTTGTCCAGGGGTGGAGACAAAGTCAAAATTGCTCGGTAGACCAATAAGGTAGCTGCGGATATCTGCAATAAATGGGGATTTAGTAATCCCCGGAATGCCGTTCCTGATGTCTGCAAATCGCTCGCAATGGTACCAGTGTTGAATCGTGTCCGGAATGCCGCACAGGGGGCAAGTGGCTCCTTTGGTCAGGTCAAATTTGGCCTGTTGCCAGGGAGCCAGAAATGCGCCTTCCTGTATTGCATATGTCCGAGCAAGTTCAAGAGGTGTGAGCTTGGTGTGATCGAGCCGACATAGTTCGACGTCCATGCTGCTGAGCGCCTTGAGTGATTGCCGGTGCTGTACCGAGACCGCGACGAACTGCATCCAGGCGTCATGTGCCAACGTATAGAGGGCGTTGTGGTCGATCCGGATCAGGTCGATCTCGATGTCGTCCTGCGTGTGGAGCTGAGGTGGTTGGAGGATCCTCCACCCCATCATGCTGCATTGCTGAACGAGTTTGGAGAATGGCCCGTCGTAGAGCTCCCCAGTGTATCGAGCCTGAAACTGCCTCCATTGCCCAAGGATGTCTGGGGATTTCCTGCTGAGGCGTCGCATGGTTGACAGCGTGATGATCCATTGGTAAAAGCCAGGGTCGGCCAAAGGTGATGGCGCCAGTGAGAGCCTGATGATTGGGCTGGCGCCCGCCCGATGGGCTCCCAGTGCGCGCATTGCCTAGGTTCTGAGGCCTCTGATGAACTTTTCCGGCAGGATGGAGCCGCTGCAGCCATGTAGGGATTTGGCCCAAAACACTGATTGTAAGACCGCGGCTTTTTGTGATCCCGGCGCCGCTGATCTGGCCAGGCGGGACCATTTGGGTTCGGCCTGGTTGCTACGCTTGCTGAATGTCCGCATGCTGCGTCCTGTAGAGAATGTGAGCGACCCGCCGAGTTCTCCGGCTTCCTTGACTAAAGGAATCCCGAGGACTGAGGTCCCGGAGCGGCAAGCAGGTGTAGTCCCCCAGGAGTAGGACTTGTCCTGATCGAGTGAGAGACCCCACAACTCCATATAAACTTGCAGGATGCAAAAGGCAGTGGCGATTGCGAAGGCCTGTGCGGAAAGGAGGATGATGTTGTCCACGTAGCTGATGGTGCGGACCAGTGGGCAAAAGCATTGCATGTAAATATGCATGTTCCAGTCCAATATCACCATCGCTGTGACGCTCATCGGACATCCTTCTGGGAATCCGGTGTTGGAGAGGTGAGCTTGGCTGAGTTGGTTGTGGACTTGAAAGCGGCGACGAAACCGTGCCAAAAAACCCCTCCATGGTCTGATGATCCGCTCCGGAAGGCCGAGGTGCGCCGAAACTTGGAAAACTGGTTCCCGCTTGATCATGTTGAAGGCCTTCTCAACGTCGGTTGAGAGGCCGATCTGATCCCAGTTGTTCTGGTGAGCAAGTTCAACTGCGGCTTGCACTTGATACCAGACTTGGGAGGCCTCGCGTTGTGGAATGAATCCGTATGCGTCTTCGCGGACCAGGTTGGATAATTGCATCAAAGCTTGCCGGGGTCTGATAGATGCCCAGCAGCGGTAGATCAGGGAAAGAATGACGATGGGCCTGTAGTGCGTGGCCCGGTGTGATTTGGTTGCCTTCGAAAGGGCAATGACGAATCCTTCGAGCCATTGGATCGGCCAATTGACTTGTCCGGCTTCGATGGAGTGGAGCATCGAGAGCAAAAATGAAATGTGTTCGTCTGTCATATGAGTGAGGTCGGTGAGCATGTAGCCGTCGGCCCCCCTTAGCTGCGTGCTGCTTGAAGCGCTTCAGAGCACGACGCCATTGGGCGATGCTAATGTCCTCAAAGATCAGCTTGCCGGGTGGCAGGTGGGCTGTGCAAAATGAGGTGATCCGAAAGAGATCGTCCTGGCTCGGTGGGGCCGAGGAGAGCCATCTTGGTGTCCAGAGCTGGCTAAGCTGTTCGTGGACTGCTGGAACTGTATCGTGATGTGTCCGTTGGCAGATGGAGGAGCCAGGGGTTGCTTGGCAGTCTCCAGTTGGGGTGATGAGGTCCCCGTCCATGGCTGTGATATGTACGGGAATCCCGTCGATGGTCCAGCTGGAGTGTGGTGATGCCAAGACCGGGTCGCTGATGTGCATGCCGTCTTCAGGGTTGACTGCGAGGACTGTGAAGGTCTTTTCCTCCCAGAGTCTATTTGATTTTGAGGGGCATCGCGTAGATCTTGAA